TAGTAGGAAGGGATTTTTAAACACGTAATTGCTGCCTTTTTGGTTTTCAACTAGCATTTTAGAGCAGTTTTGATGGTTTGCATTTAGCTGTGAGTGTTGTATGATGGGTCGCTGTTTGTCCTTGTGTTATTGGTGCCCAACACCGGAGTGACTGTCAGCCTGAAGCCGTAGGCGTAATTGCTTGGCGATTCTTGTTGAACCAGAGTGTGCTTGTCTGACTAAGGATTAGTCCTTTATCCTGGATCGGGTTGTTGGGTACGGGTTTAATGGGGGGTATTGGGGGATTTGCACGTGACAGGCATAGACGTGGGGCTTGGGGGGGTTGGCATACTTAATACAATTTTTCGTTCCCTCGCTGGGTGTCTGGTTATCGTGGTTGTTAAGTTTCTTTGGTCAATTCATAGGTATTAATAAATTTTGTGGTGGTTTCTAATGGGATGCATGTCACCGAGTAGTTGATGACAGGTTCTTGTGCTGACTCTACACACGAGCAGTCAGGGGGTACGTGGTGTTACATTGGTACTGGGGGGCGCAGTCAGGCTGGTGGTTGTTCTTGGGGCATGTATCGGGTTAACTTGTATTTTTGATTGTTAATGTTAATTTTTTCTTAATGTGTGTGTTACTATCATAAGGTGGTTACCTCTGTGGGATTCGAAGGTGGGGTTGGTTATGGAAGCTTGTCGGAGGAACGATAGTCTATGTGCCCTTTACGGATCTGCTCCGATCCTTAATTTATGGGGGTCGTGTTCAGTAGATAACCACTCACGGATGTGTTGTGCTGGGCGGCTGTTCTAAATACTGTCTGTTTTTATTAGTACATGCAGTATACATATTTTCTCAGAAGATGCTCTTCTTTGTGGTGTCCTGTAAAAAACCATTTGGGTTTCCAGAGTAACGTAAGTGGCGTGTGTCCAGTCAACACAAATTAATTCAATGGTGTTCTGCAAGCCGCCTTTAAGCACATACCCATTCTCAGACTGATTGGAGATTTCCCGAGTTCATAGGAAAGTTGGGCCTGAGTGCTTTTATAGATTCCGGAAAGTTTTTGCGGATACTTCTCCTGCACACACATCATTGTTCGGAGAGTCACGAAGATTTAGCCTCCCCCCCCCCACCCCCCCCCCCCCCACCCCCCCCCCCCCCCCCCCCACCCCCCCCCCCCCCCCCCCCCCCCCACCACCCCTACCCCCTCCCGTACTTCTGGTGGATTTGGGCTGGGGTTGTCTTCGTTACACACATTTTCCTATGGCAGCTGTGTCGGGTTATGCAGCTGAATTCCGTGGTCACGTAGTTTCTGTAAATGGCGGGGAGACTAAAAACTGCCTACACGCTGCTATGTTGTCTCATCATTTGAATAAAGTCATAATGTTATGGTGAAAGTATTTATGTAAAGTATCTGCTATCAGCTATATTTCTTTTCAGGTCTTGATAAAGTAGTTGTTGGTAACAAGTGCTTACGTTGGTTTACACTTTACTCTCCCGGCCTGTTAATTCCGCATATTTGCTGAAACTTGTATAGGATTAGATACGACGGGCTCTGAAGCTTTTTTATAAGCGTTTATGGCAATACTGCAGTGTGTACCAACCATAATTTCCAGCCTTTTGATATGGACACATCATTTCCGTAATAATTAGGCGTCAGATGGCGAAAATTCAATTTCGTGGAAATTAAAACACCAAACTGCGTTGATAGGGCCGACGCATCCTGCTGACTGCTGTTTTTCGGCATATCTCCATGCGAATCAAGCTCACTTTTTGGGGTTCTAATCTTTGCTTTGACTTTCAGTACTCTACGTAATTTTTGTTAAAGCTTTTATTAGGATCTCATGCGGTTTGTACTGATAGGAAAGCCATAGATGACGGGACGACAGTTTGATTCTGTAAACTAGGGTTAAAACCATTTTGTTGGTTACTGATTGGTCTTTTGTAAGCTATCGGCTCTTATGCCGAGAGGGATTATTTTATTACACTTCAGGTTTCTTCAACGCTTGTTGGGCTACGCTGACTTACTCATAATACCCTAGAATCCTTCCTATTAGGAGATTATTAAGTGATTCAACTTTATTCGGCTTGCTAAGTTATATTATTCCTGCTGTCATATTCGGTGTCATTTTCGCGAGTTTCTTTCTCCTTCAAAAACTTTATATACTGTGTTAGGGCTCCGAACGGCTTTGCTCTCGTGGTAACTAATTGCGTTGCTGAGAATCAATATCGATTGTCTTTGGCGCCAATGTTCTCAGACCCAAATCTTGTAACTTGCATGTATGAAATCAACAGAATTTCAACACAGAACTCAAAGTCAAATCTCACAGATCGAAACAAATGGAGACTTGTTCGGAAAGGTAACATGCGCAATTTCCCAATCATGATATCCGTTGCCTTGATTCAGATCAGTCTCCCAGTTTGTGTTTTAACTAGAAGACTAGTGTTTTTCTGTGCTGACAGAACATTTGGTGCTATTGCTGTTTTCCACAACATAAACACATTCACGTGATCTTTGAGATCATATAATATTCCAAACGAAACACACAGCCGTGTGGTTGACTGTTACAGGTGAATCTCATTCACCATGTCACGGCCTCCGTTCTGTGTTGCTATGTCTTAACAAACTTTAACACTTCTCGTTCCGGAGGGGTTGTTTGTTCACTCGCTGTCCGTATTGTCTAGAGGCCTTCTACAGGTCGAAAACCCCTGTGGACACAACACGGATTTTGGCGACGGAGGTGTTGCATGGTAATGTCCATTTCATTTGGACAGATGCAGCAGCTTCTTCATCAATAGCAGCTGCAGTTTGAGAAATCCCGGAGGGGATTGTTAGAGTTATTTGCACAGAAGCTGAACGTTCAATCTGAGGCTAAAGCTGCTGGCACACCATCTTCAGTAGACGCGGTCACGACAGCAATCACAGAGTTCATTTTCGATGAATCCAGCGGAGTAAGTTTTGATTCCTGGTTCAAGAAATATGAAGATATTTTCCGTGTTGAGTTGGCGGCGCAAAATGATGCATGGGAATTTCAATGGTTGCTGCGTAAACTCGGTGCAGTTCAACATGAACGCTATACTAATTTTGTGCTGCCAAAGAATCCAAGGGATTTGCGCTTCGCTTGAGGACTGTGCAAATTTCTGGACGTCTTATTTTTCGGTATGCATGCATGATTTGATCCAGTAATCCGTTTAATTGTTTAAAGTGGCTCAAACGTTTATGGCAATGATTTGATAACAAGAGCTTTTTGGTGTATAGTATCGATAACCGAGGTGTGGTTGAAGGTTTTAAATCCTCGCGTACGATGAACATCCACAGTTTGCAAGTCTTCAGTCCATGCCGAGGATGTTGTGCGCACCACGACATCCACTATACAAGTTAGAGCAGGAACCCCCATTTTTGAAAGTTACAGGACACCGCTAGTGAATGCCAGAGAGGTATTATAACTTAAAGCATGATACCAATATGACTGAAAATGACTTGACCCCATGAGTCGAACCTTTAGATTATACCGCATGGGCGTTGTCGAGGTAACATGTAAATGTGGGCCATAGAGTACCCCATACTCTGTAAACCCCCGATCTCATCGCTGGGGTCTGTGGTGGTTTGGGCATTCTGTGGCGTTTCGGTAACTGTACGAAGAAGCATCGCTGCTGTAATTGCAATACCGTCTGGAGTCACCAAAAGAATAATACCGATTGCCAAAAACTCGTACGATTCCAGGGGGGCTATTCCACCCCCAAAATTGTACACGAACTCTAATATCGCAAAAAGACGTCGTTTCAGGCATCAAATGGTCAAAAAGTAGTTCTCGCGGAATGTTGGCCTTCTTTACAGTATTTGTCGGGCTCAATTATTCATTCCAAAGTTATTTTTTCAGCGTCAAAATTATACGATTGTTCCCATATCGTGTTACAATTCAAATGTTAATGCATCGTGGACATTTCCATCATTTTCTCGATCCCTCTCATGGACGAGGCGCTTTGGGCACACCTCCACTGGGGGCGCACCAATTGTCTGCCCAATATACTCTCCACAGAGAACCACTAGAGGTTAGATGCGTGAGTTACACATGTGACATAAATTCAAAGATCTGAGCCTCAGTGGGAACCTTCTATTTCAGTTTTTGTGTCAAGATGATTTTTCTTGCATTCATTGGTTTAAATAGCTTTTAATGTGCTTCAACTGTACTGTACTGAATAATGGTGTGTTCTGAACGATAACGTCATGTGCGCATTATACAGCCATAACACCTATTCCAATGTCAAACCACAGGCTTGAACAGTTTCGCCGGACGAAGTGTGCGTGTGTTTTCCGACTGAACATTGGGACTTTGTAGCAAAATGCTGGCATTTAATGGTTAAATCTGTTATCCTGGTGCATACACCAGTGGTTCCGACCCAGGCGGCCCGGTCCTGTATTGCATTCACATCCAGTTACTTGGTTGATATGACTTGACCGATGGCAGCAAAATGTATATCACTGATTTATAGATATAATGCCATCAGAAACCATGGGATTCAAACGAAGGTACAGAAACAGTAAAATAAAACACAACACAACAATGTCCATGGTTTCCTCAGAGGGCGAGATACTACCCGGTTGCCCAAGCCGAAGTAGGGTGTTGACTTAGGGGACACCACCCCGAGCCTTTGGCTGAATAGCCTGCCCGCAAGGCAGCGGAGCGAATTCAGGGAATCGCGCCCATTGGGAGCCGGTGATTGATTGCTCAGTTCATACGCCTTTTGTTTGTTCCTTTCTCAAACACGGGCCCAATGCTCCCAAGGACCGTATTTGCAGGCAAATTTGATGTGGTTCCAAGCCAATATATTTCTAACCATGGGGATGTCCCAATCGTCGTTAGTTTAATAAGTCGAACGGTTCTATTCGCGTGTATTGCAGAGTATTCAATATGGTCTGAAAGACGCACATTGCAATCCCATCAGTTTCCACTTCGCCTGGACGACCTGTTCGCGAAGCATGGATTGCGTGGTAACTATTTTGCGTACCTTATATCTAGATGTTGAAACCACTAACACTGGAAGCGGAACAATGTTTCGCACGATCAACATCTCATTTTCTGGTTGTTACCTACATTCATTTCGTTGTTCTGACCATTTGGAGTCAAAAACCGCACCCGCTATTTTTTTTTCAGCAAGTCCATGGAGTCCATGGTTGACCTTTGGGGGTAGTGCCAGCTGCAACCTTATTGGATGACTATCACCATAAGGTGGCACCACACATAACTCGGAATTATTTCTACGACGGCATGAGGGGTATGAACGAATCAAAGAGGTTTATGAATTTCGTGTACGCCGCATTACAAATGCGATTTCTTCTTAATATATCTTTGCAAGTTCGTATGGGATTATGTGATTATATATAATAACGTAGGCCAACATCCCATTACCCGTGTATTATGTGAGGTTTAATTGATCGACTGCCCACTCCAAACGGAGGCATACATGCTCGGTACATCATTCCCGTGGAAGTATGGGAGTCACCTTGAGGGTGCTGTTTAACACTGAAGTATCTTCGTTTGTTGACGTGCAGTATCGCCATAAATCCCTGGATGCTTTTAGTGTTGAGAGATTGTCGATTTTTATTTGGTCATGGTTTGTGTGCTTACAGCATATTTCTAGTATTTTTGAATGTGATTTGCGCGGCGGAATCTGACACTGTTGCTTACGCACTGTATCTATCCGTAGCGGTTGTGCGACGGGGACGTCTGGTATCGGCGTGAGTGGCTGATATCATGTGTGGGGCGGGGAATGTGTAGATATAGGATCATAGAAGTGGGGAACGGTTTTTTACGCTCGCACTCCCCCCCCCACCCCCCCCCCCCACCCTTCCTTTGTTTTGCGGGCTTAGGCTACATTTACTTTCCCTTCTTCTTTTCTATTGTGGCGATTTTTTCACAGATAGTAGCGTTATATTCCGTAACGCGGCTGAATCTACTGTTGTCATTTCTGCTGGTCGCATGTTGGACGACTTTCAATGGTTTAAAATGTGCGTAACGAAGCTCCTCCCGCCTGCTTTTCCAGGCGTTAATGTCAGGAAACTGATTAGACTGGGGAACGTCCCAGTTAATGTACCAAACCCTCGACCGGGGCTGTTTCGTGTGGTACTCTCTACCCCGGAGGAACGCAGCGCTCTCATGCGGTTTGCATTTAAACTGAAAGGTACAAATATTAGCGTTCAGTCGGACCTTCCGCTGGCCGATAGGCTGAAGCTAAGGGAGGCCATCAAGAACCTCAAAATCAGGCGGGCGGCCGGTGAACAAGGTCTCCGGTTAGTGGGTTTTCGGGTTTGCCCCTACGATCATTTTCCACCCTACCACTGCCAATTCTAGTAGCGCACGACCCAGGTCTGGATCTAACGAATACCTTCAGACAGTGCTAAGTAATGTGCGCAGTCTAAGCTCTGCGTGTAGATGGGTCTCATCCCGATATACTCGCATTCACTGAAACGTGGCTGTCTCAGAACATCATGAATGGTGAAGTACATCTATCTGGCTACCCACTATTTAGATGCGATCGCTCCGCTGGCCGGCAGGGAGGGGTCATCGCTCTTTATGTGCGCTGCAAACTTGACGTTTTGAAGACTTGCTTATTTCAGTCAGCGGACAAAACTGTTGAAGCTCTATCGGCTGTTATTAACACATCCTCGGCTCAGGTTACAGTTGTAGTTGTGTATAGAAGCCCTAGGAGCGTATCCAAAGAGGTACTTGAATTCATTCGCTCCCAGTGCGCAAACAACGGTTTGGTGATGGGAGACTTCAACCCCCCAGAGGTTTGCTGGGCAGATCTTTCTTGAGACTTAGCGTCAGACACATTCGGTGCTGATTTGCTTGAGCTTACGCTCCAAGTATCTTTGCATCAGTTCATTGACCTCCCCACTAAGTACATGAACGCCCAAGTACTGTCTATCTTAGACCTTGTATTTTCTAATGCACTCGATTTTGTTGGTGACATTACTTACGGATCTCCACTGGGTTCCAGTGATCATGTTTGTTTGCTCTTCAGTTGTATTCTGTCTAAACGCTACCAGGGTACTCTTGAGTCTCACCTAAATATATGGCACGCAGACTATCCATAAATGAGTGCCAAGGCTTCGGGTTTTCATTGTGAGATCTCAGACGACGATACTGTCCAGCTTGCTGGGATAAATTTAGGTAATACCTCACAGAGGTCTCTGCTTTCTTTACGCTAGTCAGAAGGAGAAAGGGAGCACGAGCACAGTCACCCTGGATAGATCCCACTGGCAGTCATCTGCTCACAAAGAGGTCTAGATGTTGGCGGACTTACAGACAGGTACCGTAAGGCTAGAAATAGGTGTAAGCAACACCTAAGGGATGCTCGGCTTAATTTCGAGAAAGGGTTAGCGGACGAAGCTTCAGAGAATCCAGAAAGATTTTTCGCTTATGTCAAAAGGCGCTGCGATTCGAACATGTCAATTCCAATATTAAAACAGTAGGTCCCCTTCAGCCATTTCGTTAAGGCAGAGAGAAGACAGAGGTTGCGATATGTCAACATTTCGATTGTTATCGTCCGTCGCAAACACAATACGATCAGAAACACATAAGGGATAATATACATGGAAAAATAAAAGGCAACACCAATCAAAATGTCACAGTCAAGTCCATGGCAATCGAATTAATTGCCTCAAGAGTTTCTGTGCACATAGCACAGGTTGATAAGCCTTAGTTAACAACGCCTCACTAATTGCTAGCATTATCGGGTTTTTGTTAAGTACTAACACTTTGAACGCTGTCTCGGGGTTCACGTGATGACGGGTTGTCATTAGGTGCTTGGTGAGAACAATCTAAATGTTGACATATCGCAACCTCTGTCTTCTCTGCCTTAACGAAATTCCAGTATTGATGCATGATCACGGTACTCATGCGCATACGGACTATGAAAAGGCATGCGTACTTAGTGGGCAATATGCAGCAGCGTTTGTAGGGGAAACCTCTTTGACACGCGTCGAGCTGGTTTGCAGGATCCCAGAGCGTTCAGGACTATCTGAATTTATTGTAGCGGAGACGGAAGTTCTTACGCTGTTACAAGGGCTGAACCCTTCTAAAGCCTCTGCGCCCAAATTAATTCACCCGAAATTGTTGCATGAGTTGGCTGCGGAACTAAGTCGACCGCTCGCTATGGTGTTTCAGAAATCGCTTAACAGCTGTGCATTGCCTTCCGAATGGAAGGAAGCTGTCATCTGTCCCATCTTCGAAAATGGGGACAGGAGTCTGCCTGCAAATTACAGAAGAAGCACGGATACTGTGGTGCTGGCTGGCGATCTAAACGCCCAAGTCGGAAAATTGTCCTCTGATGAGCTTCACCTGGGCGGCCAACATGGTGTAGGCTCCCGTAATGATAATGGTGAGCGATTGCTCCAGCTGTGTGAAGATGCTCGCCTGTTTCTCGCGAGCACTAATTTTCGACACAGCACCCGCAGAAGTGTGACTTGGCGGCCACCAGCCTCGGGCCAGTCATGGACGCAAATCGATCATATCGCGATCAGTTACCGCTGGAGAGGCTGTGTCCAAAACTGTCGCTCGATTTGGAGCACGAGCGTGGACTCTGACCACGCACTTGTATGTGCCGACCTCCTGGTGCGTTTCGGTGGACGTCCGCGACGTCGATGTGAACGGATTGACACTAGCCAGCTGGCGAAGCCAGATGTTCTGAATGTGTACCAAGATGCGCTGACATCTGGGCTGAATAAGCGCCCACTAAACACCGTTGAAGATCACTGGTCGCACACTCGTCAAGCGTTGCTATTAGCAGGCATGTCTTCATGTGGCAAAACAAATTGCAAAACCGGACATTGGGTCTCTACACAGTCTCTGGAACTTATGGATGCTCGCCGACGTATTCCGGCTGGAAGCGAATACAATGAATCTCGCAAAAATCTCAGGGCGAAACTACGTGCGAGCCTAAAGAAGGACCGCGAAACCTGGTGGTCTCATCGTGCATCTGAGATGGAAACAGCCGCTGCCGTTGGTAATCATCGTAAGTTATACCGTCTGATACGGGCAACAGGCAGCAGGAGACCTGGTGTTAGCGAGACCATACGCGACGAGAGTGGGCAGATGATCCACAGCCTGTCAAAACGCTTGGAGCGTTGGGCTGAACACTTTGCTATGCAATTTAACCAACCTGAGTTATCACTTTCTTCGGGCATTGAGCGCCCTTCTCCTTGGGCCGTCTCCTTGGATCCGCCCTCACGCGCAGAAGTCGAACGTGAGATCAGGCTGTTGAAATTGCATAAGGCCGCAGGAGCAGATACTATTCCTCCAGCCCTCTTCAAGTTCGGTGGACCTGCTCTAATAGGTGATCTACACGAGTTGCTAGTAAAACTTTGGGAGCAGGAGACAATCCCGACAGACTGGAACCGCTCCGTCATTGTCCCAATTTTCAAGGGAGGCTCTCGTTTGGAATGTGGCAATCATAGAGGGATCAGTCTGATTTCGATTGCCTCTAAATTGCTTGCCTCTCTCATTCTCCACAGACTGACTGGCACTCGTGAAAGCCAAATTCGTGAAGAACAAGCCGGATTTCGTCGAGGTCAGGGCTGCATCGACCACATCTTCACATTGCGTCAAGTGTTGGAGCACCGCCATGTTTATTGGCGACCCACCGTTGTCGTGTTTCTTGACATAAAAGGTGCCTTCGACTCAGTCGATCGATGTGCCCTTTGGGACTGTCTGTTGAGGAAAGGTGTGCCTGATAAATATGTAAACATTATCAAAGCGCTGTACGCACATAGTTCGGGCAGGGTGAGGGTTTATGGCAAACTCTCACCACCCTTCAGTATCACCAGCGGTGTGAGACAAGGATGCCCGCTGTCACCTTTTCTCTTCAACTTCGCTATTGATGAAGTCATGGAAACAGCGTTCGCTGGACACGACCTAGAAGGTGTGGAGCTACTCCCTGGTGAGCGACTTCTTGACTTGGAGTATGCAGACGATATTGCCCTAATCTGTGACGGCTCCCAAACATGCCAAACAGCACTGAACCGATTAGCACTGGCTGTCAGTCGTTTTGGGCTATGCTTTGCTCCATCAAAATGCAAAGTACTTCTCCAAGCTTGGCAGCGACGCACCCCTGCGCTAACGCTTGGTGGTGATCTGCTAGAAGTCGTTCAGGAATTCAAGTACCTGGGCAGCTATATTAGCACCCGTGGGATTGAAGATGAGGTTACGAACCGTATAGCAAAAGCTCGAGGTGCTTTTGCCAATCTCTGCCACAGGCGGCGCAGACGCGACATTACTCTCGCCCTCAAGGGCAGAGTTTACAACGCAGCCGTCCGTTCAACTCTCCTATATGGCTGTGAAACCTGGCCCATCAGGTCGACAGACATGAAGAGACTCGTCACGTTCGATCATCGCTGCCTTCGCAGCTTAGCTCATGTCTGGTGGGAACACCGCGTGAGCAATGAGCGTGTTCGACGTCGCGTATTTGGTGCAGGAAGAGCGAGTGAACCGCTCAGCACGATTATATCACGCACCAGGCTCCGATGGCTGGGCCACGTCTTGCGCATGCCAGCACACCGACTCCCACGACGTGCATTGTTTGCGCGTTGTGGGTGCGGTTGGAAGAGGAGGAGGGGAGGCCAAGTGATGACTTGGTCGAGAGAAATGAAAACCCTCACTTCGAAGTTGGCGTCGGTTGGTGCATCCCGACTGCCTGGCTGGGGTCCTAAGGACGGTGAACACGTTTGGCTGGACACACTTGCTGATATGGCTCGGA